CTTTTTTTTTTTTTTTTTTTTTTTTTTTATGGATAGGTATTGTTTTTATCATTTGGTTTTATCATGATGTATCTTGTTTTTTCCTTCTATGGTTATTGAAATCTTTGCAGGATAAAATAGTCTGGGCTGGCATCTGTGATCCCTTAGTGTCTGTATAACCTCTGACAAGGACCTTCTGTCTTTCATTGTTTCTGTTCAGAAGTCAGGTGTAATTCTGATAGATCTGCCTTTATATATTACCTGACCTTTCTCCTTTGCAGCTCTTAATAGTCTTTCTTTATTCTGCTTATTGTTTTGATTATTATGTGGTGAGGGACTTTTTTTTTTTGGTTCAGTCTATTTGGTATTCTGTAAGCCTCTTGTATCTTCATAGGCATGTCTTTCTTTAGGTTGGAGAAGTTTTCTTCTATGATTTTGTTGAATATATTTTTTTGTGCCTTTGAGCTGGACTTCTCCTTCTATCCCTATTATTCTTAGGTTTGGTCTTTTTATGGTGTCCCAGATTTCCTGTATGTTTTGTGTTAAGGGTGTGTTGAATTTAAGATTATTTTTGACTGCAGAATCTTATTTCCTCCAAGTTTTCTTAAATGACTGAAATTCTCTCTTTCATCTCTTGCATTCTGTTGTTTATGCTTGCATTTGTGGTTCCTGATCATTTACCCAGTTTTTCTGTTTCCAAAATTCCCTCAGTTTGTGTTTTCTTTATTACCTCTATTTCAGATTTCATGTCTTGAATAGTTTCCTTCACTTGTTTGATTGCTTTTTCTTTAAAGTATTTGTTGATATCTTCAATTTTTTTGTCTTTTTCCTATTTCTTTAAGAGAATTTTTCATTTCCTTCTTAAGGGCCTCAATCATCCTCATAAAGTTATTTTTTAACTCGTTTTCTTCTACTTCATCTGTGTTGGGATGTTCAGGTCTTGCTGTCGTAGCACCACTAGTTTCTATTGGTGCCTTATTGCTCTTTGTATTGTTGAGTGTGTTCTTACCTTGGTCTACACATCTCTTCCTCTAATTGGCTTGTGCGTCAGGGGGTCTCTCTTCAGTTGGTATAGTTGGGGGCTGTGGCTCTGTCAACCTCTTCTTCAGGCACAAGTACATCAGAGCTTTTGGTGAACGCTCCTCCTGGTGGAAGTGGGCCCAATGCTCAGGTGGTCACTCCTTGAGGTGCAGATGGAGCTACAGGTACAGTGTACACTCCTCTCTTTGGAGGTGTAGGCGGAGCTGAGTCGATGCAGTAAGTGGGGTATCTGCCACTGAGAAATGGCAGTGGATGCTGGTTGGGATAACAGGTGCTCTTTCCCAGAGGAACTTTTTGCAATAGTTTCTGGAAGGTACTGCTGGAAAGTGCTTCTGTTGCTCCAACAGGTGATCACTCTTTGGGCCTGAGGCTGGGGCCTCCCTCTGACACCACACCCAGTTCTGAGGCTCATGTCTCCCCTGACACTGCTCCAGGCCTAAAGTAGGGCCTTCCTCTGACGCTGCTTCTGGGCTGGGATTCTGGCCTCTCACTGATGTTGCCATGGGCCTGAAGCTCAGGCCTTCCTTCTTATGCTGCTTCTGGGCCGGGATTTGGGCCTCTTACTGACTCTGCTCAGGGTCTGTAGCTTGAGCCTACCTTTGCTGCTGCTCCCAGGTCTGAGACTGGAGCCTTCCTCTAATGCTGCTCTGGATATATGTGTTTGGTTTTATTTATTTATTTATTTTTTTGAGACAGGGGGTCTCTGTGTATCTTTGGAGCCTATCCTGGCACTCGCTCTGGAGACTAGGCTGGCCTCAAACTCACAGAGATCCACCCGCCTCTGCCTCCATAGTGCTGGGATTGACGCCACCAACGCCTGGCTGGATATATATATTTTTAAAATAGCTATATTTTTAGTTAAGATAAATGTTTACTTAGGCTTTGTATGAAACTCCCAAGTCATAGTTCAGAGAGATTGTGACATTCTATTCCACTGCCTAGAATGTATGAGAGTTAAGCATTCTGATAGATTGCTCTGTATTAGTTGATTAGAGTGTATAAAATTCTTCATGGAAATGATGAGATTGGATGAATAAATATACATACAAGCCAGGTATCTATATAGATAGTAGAACGATCAATGGATGGTGTTATGGTTAGATGCTAATACAATATTTAAAATTAGTAATAAGTATACCCAGTAATTAAAAAAAAGAAGAATACCCAGAAATAATATTTTTTCCTTCATTAAGTCATTTAAATATAAGGCTTACTACAATATACGTTATACCACGTACATTATGATCCTGTTGTATCTATTTGAGTATATAATATATATGGTGATGGTGGTGGTGTGTGTCTGTGTCTGTAGCATATTCATCATATCTTTTAATTCTTTGTCTTTATGTTGCTGCTTTCAATTAGGTTATTGTGTGTGTGGTGCTGGGGATGTAATTCAGAGCCTTGTGCTTGATGGGATAGTGCTGTGTGCCCAAGTGTTGCTTTTCTGTTGTAGGCATTAACAGTGTGTGCTTTGATGAGGAGTCCAAACATATAACTGCAATGAAGTCGCTAGAGGGAGAAGTTGTGCCTTTTAAAAATAAAGTTCTCCTATCAAATAATGTAGAGGTGAGCCATTCTATTTCACCAAATGAACCATATGAAATTTATATCAATCAATTGAGTCAATTTGTAAGGTAGAATTGGTTAATTTACCTTTTAGGAAACTCATCCCTTATCTTCAAAAGTATTTGGCCTTGTGAGCCCCCAGAAATTGTGGTATTATAAAGAAGGGATTTTTTCTTTTTGAAATTTAGCATTTAATTCTGTAAAGAACTTTAGGTTGCAGATTTGAATCTTAGCTATATATCAACTCTGTGACTGAGGGGCCATTCTCTTACAGGGAAATGGGAATCTTAAATCTTGAGCAAAGACATCCTTTGAAAAATTAAATGGAATACTTGGCTTTAAATGCACTACCTAGTTTGTGAAACATTTAATAAATGTCTTTTTTTTAGTATGAGTTTTATGAGATTATTTGGGTGAACAAGTTGACACTAGCAGTAGGTTTTACCACTTGGATTTGTAATCTTCAGGCTCAAGAATTATTCCAGGTTAGACCAATATTCTATTGGATTTCAAGTATTTCCATCAGGTGATTGAACACACTGATGTTTTGCCAAGTAGCTGCCATTTTGTTATAAGTTTTATGTTATACTTTCTCATGGTTGGTCCAGTGGAGGGAGGAGCTTAGGATCAAGGTACAGACTAGATCAGTTATGGCAGTTAAAATGGAAGCCGAGGTTGTGATTATCAGAATATCTCTGTGGCCCACACTGAGAGAGTCCCTCTTTACAGATAGGGTCTTGTTAAGCTTTGGCTAGCCTGGTACTCAGGTAGATCAGGTTGGACTCATGTCAGTTCCCCTGCCTCAGTCTCTTGAGCAAATTACCACACCAAGCTTTAGATTTTCAGCTTTTAGCTTCATTGACCTCGAACTGTTTCCAGTACAGCAAGTGCCTACAGATGTGTGAAAAACTGGGGCTTAGAGTGGCCCTAAGAAGGGATGAAGGCCTACAACTGCAGCTTTGGTACATATGCTTTTGTATATGAGAAACGATTAAGCAGTGATGGATAGTTGTGATTTTTTGCAGCTATCATTATTTAACTCTGTATGTGCGGGGGAAGTAGTGGGTGGTGCCGTGAAACAAACCTATGGCCTTGTGCAGGCTAAGCATGGTTCTGTCACTGAGTTACACTTTACACATTTTAACTCAAATTTTATTATGTTACTTATAATCAAGTAAGTAGATAAATGCATTATTTGGACATTGAAACAAAATCAGCTTCAAAGGCAGCCTGGTCCCTCCTATAGTATATTCATCCGGATGAGACAATCTCACTAGATCATCAGGAGACTCAGCTAGCTGTTTGCCCAGGACTTTACTATTTTGTCATAATAGTGAATTGGCTGGGCTCCTTTTGTCTGCATAGTTTATTATATCAGATCAGTTGAGGGTACTCAGTACTCACAGGCAGGTGTGAGTGTTCACACTCTACATCATCACAGTGCATTTGAGGAGTGCGGTCTCTAAGAATTCACACCCCATCTGCACTGTGTTGCTTTCACAACTCCTATGTATTATTTTCCCCATTCACTTTCAGGCATGGTTGAATGATTTGGCTTTGGAAATGAAGCAAACTTTGAAACAATTGTTGAAAGAATGTGTTACTGCTGGGCGGAGTTCACAAGGTGCAATCGACCCGTCTTTGTTCCCTTCCCAGGTAAGGGGACTATGTCTGGGGTATGTTAGGCATGGGTCAGCTGTTCAGATAACTGGTGTTTATATCCTTTGTCCAGTATTTTTTTTTTATTTATTAGTTCTAGTTAGGGAACAAGCTTGTTTCACATGTAAGTCCCTTCTCCCTCTCCCTCCCCTC